TGGTTGAAGTCCGGCGGGGCGAAGCCGCTACACGCAGGGTCTGTGCTGGTGGCGACGCGGCTGGCGGCGCTGGCTGCTAGGGCCGCGCTGGCGACGCCGACGCCGCTGGCATTGGGGGGCTGTTCCCAGCCAGTGGCATTGGGGGGGAAGCCGCCGTAGTGGCAATGCAGCGGGGGCGCCAGCGTGAAGATGGGGTCCGAGGCCATCCCCAGCGCCACGAAGAGCACGGGCAGGCAGCAGAGGCCGAGCTGGAGCTGCTGGCCGCCGCCCAGCGCCCCCACCTGGGCCAGCAGCGCCTCGAAGCTGAGGGGGCCCGGGGGCACGGCCAGGGACAGGCTGCTGCCCAGCCCGCCGCCGCCGCCCGCCGCGCCCTCCCCCTCCCGCTCGCGCTCGCGCTCACCCTGCAGCTGCTCCGCGGGCACCGCATCTCCCAGGGTCCCGACCTGCTGGGGCGGGGGCAGGAGGCTGAAGCGCAGACACCCGCAGAGCACGGGGAGGGGGCGGAGGGCCGCGGGGGGCTTCGGGGGCTGGGGGGCGCGGAAGGAGGGAGCCGGGAGCGCCGGCGCGGGCACTCACTCCGTTGGAGCCGGGGGTGATCTCTACAGAGCTGTCGATCTTGCTGCTGCCCCCGCCATTCGGCTCGGGGGTCCCGGTGGCCACCCGGGGAGCCAGCTTGCCGACCGCAGGGGCCCTGCCGGCCCGCGCCGAAAGGATGGGCTGTCCTCTGGCCCAGCTGCGCGCCGGGGCCGGACGCGAAGAGCGCGGAGAGACCCCAGTCCGCAGCTCTGCAGCTCGGTCTCCGCGATCTCTGCGCTGCTTTCCCCTCCCCTTCCTCCAGACTCTCCTCCCCTTCCCACGTCAGCAGAACCTTCGGTCCAGACTCTTCGTCAGAGGGGGAGGGGCTGGGGGCTCGGCCGTCGGTTCCGTGGGTCTGCGGGCCATTGCGGTAAAAACGAGAAAAAAAGCTGAAGGATAGCAGTCAGCCCAGACCGATGCCAGAGATTCCTCCTTTGCTGCCGGTTCTTCCCCGTCATTCATTCATTCGCCTCTCCATCCACCAACTCATTTCTTCATCAGTGAAATCTTTCTTCTTTTTAAAAGCATATTGTATTTTTTTGAGCTAATGTGTGTGTGTGTGTTTTAGATTTATTTATTTCTAAGGCAGAATTACAGAGAGACAGAGGTCTTCCTTCTGCTGGTTCACTCCCGAAATGGCCACAGTGGCTGTTGCTGTGATGATCCAAAGCCAGGAGCCAGGAACTCCTTCCGGGTCTCCCATTTGGGTTCAGGGGTGCAAGGACTTGGGCCATCTTCCACTGCTTTCCCGGCACATTTGCAGGGACCTGGATCAGAAGTGGAGCAGCTGGCGCTAGAACCAGTGCCCTCATTGGATTCTGTTGTCACAGGCAGCGCCTTTACCCGCCGTGCCACACAACACTGGCCTCTTCATCCGTGAAGTTTCCTAAATGCCCACTCTGTCCCAGGCCTTGTGCTAGGCTTTGGGGCTAGGCCTGGAGGAGGTTCTGGGAGACGTAGGCACGTATACCCGCGTTTCCAGGCAGCTGATGCACACGGAGACTGGGTAGGCATCGCATGCGACTTTAGTTTCGGGTCTCTGCAAGGAGACTTCTTTGGGTCCCACCACCTCCGTGTCGAGTGACTCTTCATCAGTTCTCCGCGGCATTGGGCACGGTTGACCACCCCTCCCCCTAAACACTTTCTGCCTTGGCTGCCAGGTCTCATGTGCTCCTGGCTTGCTTCCTCCATTTCAGACTCCCTCTGCCCTTCCTCACTGCCTTCATTGTCCGCAGCCCTCAGAGGCTTGGTCCCAGGCCCTCCTCTCACCACACACTTTGTCTTCACCTTGGGACTTGGCCCTCGCCCACAACTGCCACCACGATGCAAAGCCGGCTCCTAGATTGACATCTGCAGCTCCCACCTCTCTCCTGAGCTCCATGAAAGAACAAGCTCTTGTTGGTTTCAGCGTTGCTGACCCACAGGGGCCTCAAACTCAGTATGTGCAAGACCCAACTCACGCTCTTGCTCTCTGCAACCTGCTGCTCATGCTTCCTTCTACGGTGCTGCTACCTGCATCATCCAGTTGTGGGCAGAGCCTCAAGCAAGAGCCCCGGAAACGCCTTCCTTACTCCACGTTGAGTCCTGCCCATTTGAACCCCCAGCTCTCGGTTTGTTCCTCTCCATCCTGACCACTTTCTCAGGCTGCGTTGGGCTTCTGATTCCTAACAGGTGTTCCGCGTCCACTTCCCATCATCTGTTATTTATAGTGCAGTGCAAGTGGAACAGTCTTTTCACGATGCAGATCGGATCACGTCCCTTTCCTGCTTCCCTGCCTGCAGCGGCTTCTCCTCACCATCAAGCTAAATATTAACATTCAAGAGGCTGCACACGTGGTCCTGCACACCTGGGCACAGGCTCTCTGCAGCTCCATCTCACTCTTCTAGTTCTCTACACTAGAGCCACACTGACCTTTCCCCCAGTCTTTCCTACGTTACAGGACCTTTGCAAGACCTGGTTCTTTAAAAAAAAAAATACTTTATTTGAAGGGCAGAGAGAAAGAAGTATTTTCCACCCACTGGTTTACTCCCCAAATGCCTGCAACAGCCAGGGATGGGCCAGGCTGAAGCCAGGAGCCCAGAACTCAAACCAGGTCTCCCACATGGGTGGCAGGTACATGTACTTGTGCCATCGCCTGATGCCTCCCAGGGTGTGCCCTATCAGGAATCAGGAGTTGGAGCCGGAGCTGAGATTGGAACCCAGGTATTCTCACTGGGGATATGGGCACCCTGAGTGATATCTTCGGTGCTGTGCCAAACGCCCATCCTCACCTAGCTCTTATGCCTACCAGGCTTCTTGGCCAAATCTTCCTCATCCTTCAGCTGTCAGCTCAAGCATCTTCACTGCAGAGAATCTATCCATAACCCTTCGAATTGCTGCTCACAGTTGGCTCATGGCCGGCAGCATCTTTATGACCTTGTTGGAAGTGCAGAACACTCCCCTGAGACTCGGGTGCAGTGTTCATGGGTGCGTGTACGCACTTCTCTGGGGGACCTGGTACCTGAGAGGTACATTCTGCTCTCATGCCAGGTGAGGGCTGGCAATGGGAGTCGTGTCAATCTAAGCCGAGCAGTCCACCCAGCTCTTCTACACTGACCCACAGCATCAGCTTGTCTCCTCTGTTGAGAAGTTTCCCGAATAGGAGAAACTTTTTTTTTTCTCCTAATGCATCAAACTGCCTCCCAGCATTTCCCCTCCTTGAATGCATTGCAGCATCTCTTTGGGATTTATTTCAGTAACGTTCCCTGGGAATTCGTTTTTCTGCATCATTCTACCTGTCCTGGAAGATAATCCCTGACTTTTACGTGGTACCAGGTGGCTCATATGCAGTATTGTGTTAAGTCTTTGTACCAACCGTGTAAAACCATATTAAAAAATATTTTATTGGGCACGGCGCTGTCGTGTAGTAGGTTAAGCCTTTGCCTGTGGCGCCAGTTCATGTCTTGGCTGCTCCTCTTCCGATCCAGCTCTCTGCTAATGGACTGGGAAAGCAATGGGAGACAGTCCAAATGCTTGGGTCCCTGCACCCACATGGGAGACCCAGAAGAAGCTCTTGGCTCCTGGCTTTGGGTTGGTCCAGCTGCAGCTGTTGCTGTATTTAGGGAGTGAACCAGCTTTCTCCGTTACTCTACCTCTTAAATAAATAAATAAATAGATTTTATGGAAAGGCAGATCAACAGAGAGATTTCTTCACTGGTTCACTCCCCAAAGAGCTGCAAAAGCTAGGGCTGGGTCACCCATGTGGGTGGCAAGGGTCCAAGTATTCAGGCCACCTTCTGCTTTCCCAGGTGCATTAGCAGGAAGCTACACCAGAAACAGAACAGCTAGGACTCAACTGGGCTGTGCCATGCCAGCCCCTGAAAACCATTATTAAAGCTGAGACCAGGACATGGATGGACCGGCACAATCATCCACAGATACAGAAGTACACGGCAGACCTGAGATGTGAACTGAGACCTGACTCCAAGCTAAGTGCTTGAAATTGTTTGGAAGATGATGGAGGATGGCCTTCAACGCATAGCCACGAATTCTGTTGGCCCCAGGGTATGGCAAATGGGTTTTCCTTTGCCAGGGAAATGAGAAAGGAGATGCATCAGGCTGCCCAGAGACTAAGACTGGGATTGAAATTGGGGTGCCCCTAATCTGTTTATCTAGGGAAGACAAAGAGTGGGTCCATGGCTTAGACCTTGTTCCTCTTGGAGTGGCCCTCCTCCCCCGCCCAGCTAAGCCATAGATTCACCAATGTCACCCAAGTCCTGAGGCCCCTGGACAGCTGACACCTTGCACGGGTCTCCTGCCTCAGCCCCTCTGAAAGATGGTTTGTCTGAGACGGCCAGCAGGAAGTGGCCACTAAGGGGCTAGTTTCTCCTGGGCCAGCTGAGGAGGCAGCCGGGTTGCCTACAGTGTGGAGCTAAGAGGCTGTTGGTGCAGGTGACCTCTGCAGGGCAGCATTTTTGGAGGGTCTTGTGTGTGCAGCCTGTCCCCATCTGCACCTAAAACAAGAAGTCCTGGGGGAAGGCCTCCATGTCAGCCAGCGGTGTCTGCTTCCTGGGACCCTAGTCCTCGGCCGCTCTGGGCTGTGTCCCCTCTGAGTCAGCATCCACAGTCTGAAGTCTCCCTCACTGGCCTCCGTCCTCCCCGAGGTGGTCTCTTCACTTCATCCTATTGCTCCCAGTCACCAGTGCCGCTCCAATCTGGGGTCGGTTGAGTTTTCATGTGCTTCTTTTAACAGACTTATTGCTATCTAGGCCATCCTCACCAGCATGGCCCACTCACCACACACCTGAGAACCAGGCCTGGTGCATCACGGGAATGAAAAGTTGCTGAAGAAGCAAGCCAAAGTCCCCCAGGTTTGTGTGTCCTACAGGCATGGCTGAGGGCTGCCGGGCCCACCTCCCAGGCTCCCAAGAAGCAGAGTCAGGGAGTCAGACAGCAGAGTTTATTGAAGAGCATCCGCCAGAGGCCCGGTCCTCCTGCCTTCAGCAGGGAGGGGCGCTGGGATCTCTCCCAGACTTTCATTCTGGGGACTCCGCGTCCAGCCCTTGCTCCCTAACCCGGAGGCACCGATGCTGGACAGCTGAGTAGCCACGGGTTTCGGCCACGAGACTGTGTGGCCTGCTGAACTTCCAGAGGCAGGTGGCAGGACAGCAACCTCCACCGCCGGCTGAGGGCTCGAGAGGCCAGCTCCTCCCTGCCCATAGGGCCTGGTGCCTGCCCCTGACGAAGCAGGGGATCATATTAAATATAAATAATTTATACAAAATGGCTCGTACAAAAAGCTGCAGGTGAGGGGAGCAACAGACGCCTTTGAGAGGCTGAGATGGCGAGAAGGGGCAGGAAAGATACCTCCACTCTCCTGGCCCCTAGCACAGAGCACCCCCCCCAGGACCTGGAGGAGCTCTGCAGGCCGGGAGGTGCCGAGGGGTCCTCAGGGGGCCAGGCTGGTGAGCAGAGTGGTGAATCGCAGGGCCTGCCCTGCCAGCTCTGCCACGCACTGCGCCATCTCTTGGACGGCAGGGCCAGAGGGGTAGCCCAGGGCAGCCCCCTTGACGGCCAGGACGGTGGCCCGCAAGGCCTGGCCCAGCGCTGTACCTGCAGCCCCAACCTGTCCTCGCAGAGGTGCAGAGGCCGCCAGGCGGCCCAGGGTGTCCCCCACAAACACCAGGCGGTGGGCGGCCACCAGCACCCGCTTGCTGTGAGGCACGAAGAGGCGCGGCGGCTGGTTGGCCTGGGTGCTGCGCATCAGGGCCGCCACCGCCGTCTGCAGCGCGGAGAAGTGGCTCTGGCACTGGCCTGCGTAGAACTGCAGCAGCTGGAGATCTGCAGGGGACAGAGCCAGTGGCTCCCCTGGGCACGGGGCCTCCTGCGGGGTGAGAGGCGTGGTCAGTGCCTGTTCTCTCCGCTGCTCCCTTTCTCCTTCCCTCTTCCCTTTCTTCCTTCCTGTCTCCCATAGGGTATCCCTTTAGCTCGTAGCTCAGCCCATCAGGAAACTTAGATTCTTAGAATCCAGGCTTGATGTCAGAGAGAGCTGTGTTCAAAGAACCTCAACCTGAACTTCAGACAAAACCTCTGAGCTTGTTTCCTTCTCTCCTGGGAGTCGAGTCCTGCACTGCTCAATGTAACATGAAGCACGGAGACACTGCGAACTTCCTAGCAGCCCCTTTAAGAAAACTGAAAAGAAATGAGCGTGTTTTATCCAACTCCAAGTGTAAGGAAATGCTCTCCTTTTTTTTTTTTTTTTTTTAATTTTACAGGTAGAGTTATAGACAGTGAGAGAGAGAGACAGAGAGAAAGGTCTTCCTTCCGTTGGTTCATCCCCTAAATGGTTGCTACTGCCGGCGCACTGCGCCGATCCGAAGCCAGGAGCCAGGTGCTTCCTCCTGGTCTCCCATGCAGGTGCAGGACCCAAGGACTTGGGCCAACCTCCACTGCCCTCCCGGGCCATAGCAGAGAGCTGGACTGGAAGAGGAGCAACCGGGACAGAATCTGGCGCCCCAACTGGGACTAGAACCCGGGCTGCTGGCGCCACAGGTGGAGGATTAGCCAAGTGAGCCATGGCGCCGGCCAGAAAATGCTCTCCTTTCAACATGCAACCAAAATGAAAATTAGGGGGTCTTCCCCATAGGGAAGCTCATAATCTGGTGTGCGTTTTCCATTCACAGCCCTACTGCAATGAGATAATACGCAGCAAGAGTTCAGCGCTTGCCACTGCACACAGCACACACCACAGGAGGGATCGCTATCAATCTGTGCTGGTGCGCACCATCGGTAAATACCCGGTCAATGGCAGCTGTTGTGTTCCGACCACTGGACACAGGGTCAAGGAATGCACCTCGCTTTCCCGAGGCCCAGCAAAATTAACTGACAGCTCCAGAGCCGCAGGCTTCTCAGCGGTGGAGCCGGGATTAGGAGCCAGGTCTCTTAGGAACCCAAGAATCCACACTGAAACGAGCCCGGCTCTGACCCGCAGCCCAGAAAGTCTTTCAGCTCCCCTGGCTGCCTGGTCTCCTGACTCCTCTCCAGCGCATTCTTTCCCCTCTTTCTGAATTCCTGATATCCTTTTCCAAGTTCCAGCTCTTTCCTGTCGGATTCTGACTCCTCTCCACTCCCTGCTTCACGCGAACGCTCACCTCCAGTCTAATCAACTCCCTGATGGCTCAGCTGCAGACGCTCCTCCCAAGTGCCTGCTTCTCCTTCCCCGTCTCCCCAGCCCCCCACTCCACCTCGCCCCCCAGGGTTACCTGCTTCTCCGGCAGCTCCCTCTCCAGCAGTTCAGGCTCCCCTGGGAAGGCCTTATCTTGGGGCCTGGATCCCTGAGCTTTATCCATGCCCTGCAGAGGGGAGCCGGCCTCAGTGCAGAAGTGGGGAGCAGGGCAGTGTGGCCTGCATGGCCTCTCCACCCCTCTGCCTTCCTGCCAGTGCTTTGTCCCTGGACTCCAGGTTTGTGAGCCCTGGTGGCCCCAGGCTAGGTTTAGGGAAGGAGTGGGGCACCAGGCCAAGCAGCAGGGTCCCAGGGCTGGGGGACAGGGAGGCAGGGAGGCTCTGCCTCCGTGGCTGGCCCGCTTCTCTCTGCACAAGTCACCTGGGGCTCTCATGGGGCTGCCTAAGAGCTCACCTTCAGGTGGACGTAGTCATACTCCTCGGCCATCGGGATGCCCTCATACTCGTTGTGGGGTCCTGTGGGGTCGTCCTCCACCTCCCCACCCTCTGGGTCCCCCTCCATCTTGGGGCCCCCGTAGCCAGGCAGGCGGGGTGGGGGTGGAGGCAGGGGCCGGTCCTGGATGCTGCCCTTGCGGCCTGGGGCAGGAGAGGGAGCTGGAGAGGGGCTGGGGGCCTCTGGGACAGGCAGGGCGGGCAGAGGGCGGCGGGACAAGCTCTCGGCGGAGGGCAGCCGGGGCCTGTGTTGGGGTGGGGGGCTTCTGGGCAGAAGCTGGGACAAGGTGTCCAGGTCTTTGGAGGCCGAGGCTCCTGGGGGCTCTGGAGAAGGAGGTGGCTCGGGCCCCAGCAGGGGCACATCATAAATGCCCTCATCGGTGCCTCCGCCCTCCCCGTCTGTCAGCAGTTCCTCGGGTGCTTCGTACAGGTTGAGGAGCGCTGAGGCCCGCTTCAGGTTGGACGGTGCAGTGTAGAGGGGGGGCCCGGGTTCTCGGCCCCCCTCCCACTCTAGGTCGGGCTCCAGCTCTGTTGGTGACTTCGGGGCCAGCGGCACATCATAGGGGGCTTCCTCCTCTCCAGTGGGCTGGGGGGCACCCCGGGCCAGAAGGCGGGAGAAAGAGGCCGGCGAGTCGTAGGGGCTGCTGGAAGGCACACGGAGGGCGGTGGGGGGCACATCATAGACCTGCAGGGAGGAAGCCGGGAGTCACTCTCCAGCTTAGGGAGGGACCGCTCCCCCCAGGACACACCCCATCCCAATACACGTGGGCCCTGGCTCTCACCTCCAAGGCGTCTCCTGGGGCGGCCAGCTGGGTTGCGCTGCCTCTGGGGACCTTGTAGATGGAGTCAGGGGAAGGTGGGCAAGGTGCAGTCAGAGGCCCCGGGGCAGGACAGGGTCGGGCTGGGGGTGGCACCACGTACACCTGGGGATGAGGAAAAGTGGGTGGGAGAGGAAGAGTTTCGGATGAGGGAACTCCGACAGCAGTGGCTCAGAGAGGGTGGGGACAGACTCCAGGCAACACAGAGCCGGGGAGAGAACAGGGCTGTCCTGGCTGGGGCTGGGATGGCTCCCCACTCTCACCTCCTGGTCCTCTTTGCTGGGCTGTGGGGCTTGGGGTGCTGCGGAGAGGCTGGGCTTGGGTGCTGGCCCGGCAGGAAGGAGCTTCACTCTGTTGGCAGGCACGATGCCCTGCTGGCCGTGCAGGGAGCAGAGGCACCAGCCGTCCAGCCCGCCGGCGCCCTCCCTCTGCAGCACTCGCAGAACGTCCCCTCGGCGGAAGGACAGCTCCTGGGGGGACTCGGCCGTGTTGTCGTATAATGCCCTGGCCAGCTGGGCCTGGGGGATGAGGGCGGAATGAGGAGAGGGGTCTTCTCACACACAGCGGCTTATGTCACCCCCTGCTCAAGACCCTGCAAATTTCGAATTCCCCATTCCCCTCCAGCTAAAAATATGAACTCCCGACTGGGCCTGCCCTGTCTCTGGTTCATCACCTGTGTCCTTCCTCTTGCTTTCTATTCCTTCAACTACACAAGGTTTTTTCCTGCCTCAGGGCCTTTGCACTTGATGTTTCCTGTACCCAGAATATTCTTCCATTGGCTGTTGATCTGGCTTTTTGTCATCCTCCTGTTCTGTTTAGGATGTCTCCTTCTCCAAGAGCCCTTTTCTCCACTCTTGTCTCTATTCCAGCTGTGTCTGCCTCCACCCCTCGTTTCCTTCATAACGTGTCACATTGTTCATCGACTGACTTTTTCACCATCAGTCTCTGCTCCTACGTAGGACTGCTGTCTTTCTCGGCTTCTGCCACAGAGACCCACCCCGGACACTTCTGCTGAGTGAATTTCTTCCAAAGCACATGATCAAGTCCTGCCAAGTCCCCTCCGTGCCCTGAATCTCCTCTGCCTTCCCCGAGTCCCCCAGCCATCATGCCTCCCAAACAAAAGGGTTCCTGAAGCAGCTGCAGAGACCCCTTGGAGACTGGGAAGCCCGGTGCAGACGTAGTGCTGAGGCATAATAAGAAAGAAAACAGAAAGCGAAGCAAGTGTTTTGTTGTCAGTCTCAGCGAATAGGGCTCTACCAGAAGAGGCGGAGGTTGCCATGGAGAGAAGTGTGTGCTTGTGTGAGTATATGGGCATGTGTGCAGGGACTGGCAGACTGAGCATGCCACATGCTCATGAGCCTGCTTCGTCTGGCCAGAGCAGCTGAGCGTTCTCCACTGAGGACTCCAGCCTGGGGAATAAGTCACAGATGCAAAGTGGAAAAGATTTCTTTAGACACCGTGCAAGTCTTGGCATTGCTCAGCTCATCCCATTTCATTCTCACAATGGCCACTGTGGGACGAGCCATCACTACCCCACCCTGGGAAATGGCATACAGCTGGCACAGCTGGCAATGCACGATTCGAACCTCAGGCTGTTTAACTGCGAACCTGCACTCTCTCAGTCTCTCACTCTAGGGCCTCCCCGCAATGACAGATGTACCAGGGTATAGAGAGGGCGTGGCGCAAAGCTGAGCCAAGTGCATGCGAAGCCTGCCTTCGATCCAGCTTCCTTTTGCTGTCACCCTTCCCAGCGCTCTGTCCAGGGGGTCCTTGTATAGACTCAAGCTGAAAGGACTCAGCGCGTCAACTCAGCGTCAGCTGCAGTTATGCCTGCTGAACGGCCGAGCCTGCTGGGAGCACCCCTGGCAGTGGCGGCTTCCACAGCGGGGCTAGAGGGCACTGCCGGCCAGCAGCTGCATGGACTCATTCAGTAAAAAATCTCAAGCTAGGGATCTCGGCAGGCTGCCCCAGGCAGGGGCGCCTGTTCCTCCTGGCCACTGCCTCCCTCTGGTGGACGGTTTAACCCCCGGCTCTTGATGGGGGTTTTACCATCAAACTGACTGCTCCTGACTGGTTCCAAACTCACCAAAGCCCCTTCTCGCAGTCTCTTGGTGTTGTCCCACTGCAAAAAGGCGTGCTAACCAGATGACACAAATTCCCGGTTTGCTCTGCACTTTTCCAACTAATTATAAATCAGGGCTTTTGGCTCTAGTCAAGGGGTTAAAAACACAGTTCTCGAGGCAGGCAGACCCGGGGTTGAGTCCCAGCTCTGCCCCTGTTGAGCTGGGTGCCTTTGGCCAGGTTGTGTAACCTTTCTGAGCACCAGTGTCCTCTGTAGGATCCCGTATCCATCTCCATCCCCGAGCATCTATTGTTGGCGAGGAACGGCACTAGCCTCATGAGGCTGTCAGGCCTGGACGAGGTGATGTGTCCAAAATCACAACAAAGCTTAGCACGAGCCCATCACGAATGCTCAAGAAATACTAGATGGGGCCGGCGCCGCGGCTCACTAGGCTAATCCTCCACCTAGCAGCGCCAGCACACCGGGTTCTAGTCCCGGTCGGGGCGCCGGATTCTGTCCCGGTTGCCCCTCTTCCAGGCCAGCTCTCTGCTGTGGCCAGGGAGTGCAGTGGAGGATGGCCCAGGTGCTTGGGCCCTGCACCCCATGGGAGACCAGGAAAAGCACCTGGCTCCTGGCTCCTGCCATCGGATCAGCGCGGTGCGCCGGCCGCGGCGGCCATTGGAGGGTGAACCAACGGCAAAGGAAGACCTTTCTCTCTGTCTCTCTCTCTCACTGTCCACTCTGCCTGTCGAAAACGAAATAAGAGAGATAAAAGAACACCAAGGAGGAGATACTAGATGCTATCAGGATTCTGTAAGTTGGATTAACAGAGTCCCTGCCTTTAAAAAAGAAAAAATAGAAAGAAAGAGGGAGCTGCCTTCTGGGACTGCAGAGCTGACTAGCTGACCCCTGAGCCTACGTCTCCAGGTCAGAGGCCCCCAGAGGGCCACCCCTTCACAGCCCTGAGCCATCACACAGACTGAGGAACTAAACAGAGCCCGGTCTGAGGAGGGGCCACGGGAGGCACTGGGGGCGGCTCCGTGCTTTCTCACAAGTCTCCTTCTGAGTCCCTGCACAGAGGCGGGCAGAGAGCAGGTGGCAGCCTCCCTTCCCTGGGAATTCCCAGTGGGGCCTAGGGAAGACTGCCGAGGGGCCAGCGTTGCCCGGGTTCAGACGGCAGAGCGCCGAGGTGTGGCTGTGGGGAGCTCCTCCCTGCGCTAGGTTTGAATTCTGTCCAATGGGGCCACACCTCTGGGCCTTGCAGGAGCCCAGACCAGAGCTGCTGATAGACTGATTGATGATGGGTGTGGCCACCCTTGCTCCACCCCATCCTGGGGCCCCAGCTGACTTAAGCCGGGAAAGCTGGCTTCATGTGGGGTGGCAGCGGGCCACAGCCGCCTTGGGAGTCCTCCGCCCACTGTCCCATCATGCCAGCTGTCTCCTCCCTTTGTCCCCAGTCCCCGGAAAGTGGCCTGAGGCTGGCTGACATCACCTCCCCTGTTTTCTCCTTCTCCCTGCCCGGGTCACCCTCTTGCACTCTGTTCCTCCCTTTCCTCCTCCTCTGGAGGTGGGCTCCTTGGGTCCTGTCCTTTCCCGGAAATGCTCCCAGCCACTTCGGCCTTTCGGCCCCCTCCCAACCTTTTGCTTGCCTCCCAATCACAAGCCCCTGCCAACCACCAGTGGCCATCTGTTCTTGTCCAGAAAGAGTAGAGAGGACTCCGACTCCACACACCCCCTCCCCTCCAGGCAGGCGCAGCCTTTAGAAAGAAAAAGGAGAAAGGAGGGTGGGGGAGGAGAGGAGGGGCGAATTGAGCATCGGGAGGAGCAGGGGCTAAGGAGTGAGAGGGAGAAGGGAACAAAAGTGAGAGGAGGGGGGCACAGTTTTCCTAAAGACAGGGGCCAGCCACAGGGACAAAGAAAGAGCAGAAATAAAAGTGACAGCAGCGCAGGGCAGGCGTGCAGGTCTCCGCACCCAGCCTGCTCTCGCTGGTGGACTCACCGACGTGGCAATGGCCATGGCCTTGGCCTCCCGCGCAGCCTGCTTCAGGCTAGGCTGGGTTTTGCTGACTTCAGCGGTGGCTGCCTCGCACCATGGTCCGCGGCCTCCAGGCGAGGAGGCCGCCCCTGGCTGTGCCGCTTGAGCAGTGGCCTCCGCCAAGGTCGGAGGAGGAGAAAAGAAAACCCAAAAAACTTCCCAAATGGGAGGCAGCCTGGCCAGGCAGGAGGAGGAGCGGGGCGGGCCGGGGCGTCACTGCGGGACCTCATCCAAGGGTGCGCTCTCTGTGCTGTCCCCGCGGCCCCCCGGGGGCCGCCGCTTTGGCCCGGCCCCCGGAGCTGCCCCACCTAGGCCGCCCAGGCTCTCTGGGCCCGCATGGTCCGAAAGCTGCCTCCCAGGGCGAGCGCGGGGGCGGGAGCTGAGGTTGCGCTCGACGCCTCTCCAGGCCGCTCGGGGCAGCCCCTAGGGCTGGCAGAAGCCGCTGAGGCGGTTGGGCCGGACGAGCGAGTTTTGGGGCCCAGCCTTTCCTCCCGGCCCGCACGATGCGCCGGAGAGCGGTGATCCCGAGACCGTGGTCCCGTGGTCGCGGTAGCCCGGGACACTGCGGCGGGACCCCTGAGATGGAGGAAGAGCGAGCCCTGAGTCTCTCTTCGAATTCGCCCAAAGTTGGCGAAAGGGGGCCAGGCTGACGCCAAAGGTCTGGGACAGCGTGGCTGTTGGGGCGAGGGTGGCCGGAGTGGTTGCTTTCTGTGCAGGCGCCCGCACCCCTGGCGGTGAGGCGGTTTCGCGCTCAAGCACGAGGGCGCAGCGTGTTCCCGGGGCCTCGCGGCGGGCAGGGGCCCTGCCGTAGGCGTCACCCAGGCACCACTGTAAGAGGCGCGCGGCCTTCCCCACGCGCCGCCCTCTCCCAGGCGGCAGGGGAACCCAGTCCCCCTTCCAGCCCTCGGCCCTGGGGCGCTGAGCCCCAAGCTGGCTCCCACGCTCGGCCCTCGAGTCCCGCACCGGCCCCGCCGCCCCCGCTCACTTGCACCCTTGGCAGGGCCCCTCGGCGCGCCCCAGAGCTTGGGGGAGACTCAGGTGCCTCTGGGAACGAAGAGAAAGGCCACAACGCCGAGGAAGGAGCCAAGAGAAGGCGAAGGAGGCGCAGGGGCCCGGGTCCGGAGGGCTTGCCTGGGGTGGGGGCACAGAGCGCGCTGGGAAGGCGCCCAGGTTCCCCCCAGCTCGCGGCTCCCTTTCCCGCCCCTTCCCGGGCTCCCGCTGCCCCACCGCCGCGCAGCTCCTGCCTCCCCTCGAGCCCTCTCCTCTCCGGCGCGGGGCTCGGTCCTGGGGATTAAGAGAAAGGAGGGAGGGGAGGGGAGAGGGGAGGGGCAGGGGCGGAGGAGAAAGGGGGACGGCCCTTCCCGAGGCGGGTGTTGAGTTTCAGCCCTGGACCCTCGGGCCGAGCGGCTCGGCCCCGGCCGGCGCCTTCTTCCTCTGGACTTCGCAGAGACCTCGGGCGCTGGGGTCCGCCCCCGCCTGGGAGCTCACCTCTCCCCGCGCCGGCCCGCGCGTCTCCCTGCCTCCCTCTCAGTAGCCCCACGGCTGGCTCTCCGCAGGAGGGAGTGCGCGCCTCTGGCCGGCTTGGTGCTGCGGCTTCAGGGGTGGCGGGGCCGCTAGCCGGGCCGGTCTTGCGGGGGACTGGCGCGGAGTCTGGCGCTGGTCGTGCTTCTGGCTCTGGGGAGGCAGCTTGAAGCCGGAGTGTCTGGCCTGGGAGCTGCTGGCGGGCGGACGGGCGGGGCGGCCTCTTACCCACCTCTGCCAGTCTGGGCCTGCTCCTCTTCCTGGCCTGGCTCACTCCCTGCTGCAAGGAGCAAGCTTGGGGACCGTGGACAAAAAGGGGAGCACTTCTTTCGGAGGGAGTGGCGTGCAGCCCCCCCCCCCCCCCCCCGATTTCAACGGGAGCACTGGACTCTGCCTCCCCCACCCTTCTGGCCCTATTGCAACGCCTTGGTTACCCTGCCTCCCTCCAGGCACCCCGCCTCCCAGGATCTTCCTTTGGGGGACACACAACAGAGCCTGTTAGAGACGTGAGGGACTCCTGTGGCCTTCCGCTTCTGAGGTGTTGGGAAGCACCATGCGGCACCGGGTTGAAAAGCTGTAGTAGATTCTCAAGGTTAATATTGAGCAAATGAATGCTTCAGCATATAAAGTAGGCAGTACAACTCTGCATAAACTCATTGGGAGATGACAGCAGATGTCCCACTGAAATCTCTTAGTGAGTCTGAGACCTCAGACAGGGACTAAGCCCCCCTCCCTCCCTGGAAGGCCCTGAAGACCCCCTTGGGGGGATGTGGTGCAGGTCTTGGCCCTGGGCTTGGCTCTGAGTCAGGGAGTGCAGACTGGGTGTGAGGCTGGCGTTCCTCAGTAGACGCAGACTCTGCTGGGACCACAGAGGAGGTTTTACATGTCCAGATTCATCCCAGTTCCTGTCTGGTGGGTGGGGACCACCGTGGAGACTTTCCATCCTCCTCCAGCCCCCAGCCCCGGGGCTGTGTGTGTGTGTGTGTGTGTGTGCTTGGCTGCCTAGCACACAGACGTCCTGCTGCTGGGGACCTGCCGTGGTGTGATCTTCGCTCAGGGGACTGCCAAGGCAAATGGGGGACCAAGGTGGAGGTGGGCAAGAAACACTGTCCCCAAGATGAATGATCTGACCGCCATAAGGCAAATAGATGAGGCCAGAAAAGGCTGAGCAGGACAGCAGCTGTTGGGGCCAGGCGAGATGGTGGGGCTTGGGACATGGACAGTGGGGCTCCGGTCCTCGGCTCAGAGCCTGGGAAAGCTCTGTGAGAGACAGCAGAGCCCAGAGCAGCAGCAAAACAAGGCTGTGCTGCTGGAATTCCCGGGCCTGGCAGACGCAGGCGGGAACCCTGGCTCTGAGTGTCACTGCCTCTTCTGGGACAGGAACTCTGCTGAGCAAGAAATACACTCAAAGCATCTGGCACACTGCTCTAACGCCTTTCCTCTTTTCCTGGGCTCCTTTCTTATGCTTTCTTGAAAGCTCAAAGTGGTTTTGCTGTTTTTGTTGTTGGGGTCAGGAGGAGCCTTTCCTGTGTCCCTATGCCCCTGCCTGTGCCCTCTCCTTTGCAAGCAGAGGTTTAAGGGGGTTCTGAGTGGTTCAGGGAGAGATCCAGGCTCCAGCACGGATGGAGAAAGCCAGGCTGAGCAGGGAGCTGAGACCCAAGTTGTGCCCTTGTGTATTCAGGCAGTGGAAACCAAGGGACCTTTCCATTGGCTCCCAGGTTCCCATCTTCTCTGCTGCCCTTTTCTTCCCAGCACTGTCCAATTGGCTGTTCTCTTTCACACTCCAACCTGTGACTTCCCAGACCCACCTTCTGTCCGCTACCCCAGACTTCTCCAGCGCCCACTAAATGTTTCCAGCTCACTTCTCTTTGGACTCACAGCACCCTGACTACCTGGGTTCTAACCAAGGTCCCAGCACTAGCTCCTGAGCTTGGCCGGCCACATGGCCTCTGCATAGGTTTCCTGTCTGGCCTATCATAAGGGATAAGGGAATCCTGAGAACAATGTCTGGCTCATGATGCGTGTGTCAGTGTTGGGCCAAAGCAAGTGTTAGTATTGCTATTGGGTGCCAACTCTGTGGAGGCCCCAGGAAGTCAAGGACATGATGCCTTCCCTTGAGAAACTCATATCAGTCATGTTCGAATCCAGTCAGTGCCTTCCCAATGACCTTGGATGAAATCCCAAAGCTGCATCATAGCCTGTCAGATCCTGGCTGATCTGGTCCCTGCCTGCCTCTTCCATCTTCTCTCACCCCACTCTCTCATTTATCCTCTGTTGTATGTCCACCCTCTGCTTCCTGTGTTCCACCTTGGGGGCTTTGCATGTCCTGCTCCCTCTGCTTGTGATACTCTTCCCCCAGACCCTCTCCAGCATCAAGTCAAACATTGCATCCTCAGGAAGACCTGGCCCGGCTTCCCAATGTAGAATGGCCCTCCCATTCTCCCCACTTGCCGGCATCTACAGCCACTCCCTGTCTCCCAATACGGTTTCTTTTTCTTCAGTAGCACTTCTCATGATCCCAAATGATCTTGATCCCTTGTTGATCATGCCTTTTCCTAAAACCTAAGCTTTGGGGCTGGTGTGGTGTAGTAGGTTGAGCCTCCTGCAGCACCAGCAATCCATATGGGTGCTGGTTTGAATCCCGGCTGCTCCACTTCTAATCCAGTATCCCTGCTGATGGCCTGGGAAGGCAGCGGAGGATGACCCAAAAGCTTGGGCCCCTGCATCCACATGGGAGATCTGGAAGAGGCTCCTAGCTTCTGGCTTTGGATCAGCCCAGCTCCAGCTTTTGCAGCCATATGGGGAGTGAACCCGCGGATGGAAGATCTCTCTCTCTCTCTGTCTCTCCCTCTCTCTGCCTCTCAAATAAATAGACAAATAAATCTTTATAAATGAGGAAACTAAAACCTAAGCTTCATGAGGCAGAGGCTTCTTCTGACTTGTCCTCCTCTGCTTTCCTGGCAGTTAGAACAGTAGTGCCTGGTGAATAGCAGGCACTCAATAAATATTTGGTGAGTGGACAAATGAACAAAGACAGCCATGACTGCAGGACAAAGCCCTGTAGCTGAGGGCCCCACTTGGGGAGGCCTCAGTCTTGGGGGCTGGGGGTAAGGGGTTGTTGGTCTCTTTGTCTTGCTAATTCTGATTTTCCATGTGTCTGTGTATGTGTGTGTGTGTGTCTCAGGCCAGACTGGGTTCTCCTTGAAGTCAGGCCCTTGAGCCTAAAGCATTTTTTATAGCTAAAGATGAAACTGAAAATTATTTCCAGCCAGTCTCATCATCACTTCCCAGTCAGAACTTGGGAGCAATGTCCTGGAGGCTTCCGTCTGGTCCAGGCATTCACCTTCTAGTTATTGGGCACGGGAGGTGGGGGCACTCTGAGCTGAGAGCAGCATCTAAGTTAGCAGCAGGTGCAGAAGCGCTGCCGCATCTCTATATCATGGCATGTTCCTGTCTTAGACAAAGGCAGTGCACGTGAGCTTTGACAGACCCTGCTGAGTCCTGGGGAGCAGGCATCAGTCCAGCAGCTGAGGGCCAGAGCACCTAAGCCCTTTGGCACCTTGTGGCCATCCAGGCCCTCTCCACTCCCACCTGTCCACACACCCTTCTACAAACGTGGAGGGAAGAGCAGAAAGAAGGCCCAAGGCCAAGAGCTGCTCAGAGGCTGGACCAAGACCTGGAAGCAGCAGGTACGAACTTTCTGTTCTTACATCTTTCTGAGAAGGGACAGGGCAGCCATGGCCTGACCCTCTGCAAGCCCAAGAGCATGTCCACATTAAGGGAGGGAGAAATGTTCCATCATACCTTCCCTGTCCCTCCCTGGGAGGTACTGACCTCTTTTTCTAGGGGCACAGGGGTCGGAATATCCCAGCCCTGCTCGGCTGCCAGGTCAGGCCCAAACAGGAAAAATAAGTGTTGGGAGGGCACCCTTGATGCCAGGTGCTAGGCAGACTTTCCTTTGCTCCCACCTCCAGCATTCTCCCCATTGCCACCACCGGCTCTCACACCCCCAGGGATTCCCTGGAAGCTAGAATGACTCAGGGATTCCAAAACTAGCCAGCCCAGGAGGAAATCCCTCTGGAAAATGTTTCTCATGGAAAGGAGTAACCTGAAGGAATCCCACAAAGCCGCTGCTGAGATAAGGGCAGAGGCTGAGCAAATAGGGCATGGGTGGGGGGGTAGGACATGTGACTCAGAGCCCAGGTTCTCAGGTCAAGCCTGGTCATCATTGGAGGCAGGGCAGTCGGGGGACTGTGTGCTCAGAGGGGCCCTCCCTGTGGCTTTCAGGGGTTTCCTTTGCCTTGAGATGCAGAAGTAGGGATACCCCAAAGGGCAACATCTCGAGTAACCCAGGTTGGGTCCACTCTGTAGCTGCAGCAAGGGGAACAAGTAGCTAGGATCACTTCTGGCTCCTTTGAGTACCCCCTCCTGCACAGGGCTAGAGATCGGGAGATCTGGCCAAGGTCAGACTCCAGTTCTGCTCCCTTGGCCCAGGTTTAGGGGGAGATCGTTAGGATTTTAAGTCTTCTGGAAGAGCACTGCCCTCTTAAGAGCCTGCTCTGGGGTTGGAGGTAGCTGAGGAACCCCAGAAACCACCTGGAGGCTTTGCAAAAGGCCAAAAGCTGCGGAACAGGAAGCTGGAGCAATGAATCCCAACCAGCAGGGCTGATGCCTAAGTAGGAAGGAATGCCCTGTGACCTCGGGCAGGTGTAGCTGAGACCTGTCTAGCCCAAGCCCAGATGAAAGGGAAGCAGACAGTGTGGGGGCTTCCTTTCCATGCACAGCCAACTGGGGGCCATCACAGTGTGGTACCTCCCCGCCAGGAGCTTAGATTTGGAGTTGTTCAGGAATATATTGGGAAACCAGCTCAGCTTCTCTCTAGCTGTGGGAACTTGGGTGGGTTTCTACATTTTGTCTGGTTTTGGTTTCCTCATTCATAGGATGGGGATAATGGCCTCCAAGTCTGGTTTTATTGTCAGGGTAAAGATGAGACCGGTGCATGGCTCAGCACGATGCCTGGCTCTTGCAGGTACACAGGAGCTGAGGCCAGCAGTGTACAGATCGAGCGGCTGTTCAGGGGTTCCGGGGCCAGAGGTGGGCAGTGAGAGCTGGGTGATGATGCTACTGGCCTCATTGCTTGCTTGCTTTCTTTGAAAGATTAATGAATTTATTTGAAAGGCAGATTGGCAGATTGGCAGAGAGGGAGAGGCAGAGAAAGAGATCTTCTATCTACTGATTCACTCCCCACTGATGGCTGGGGCTGGGCCAGGCTGAAGTCAGGAGCCTGAAACTCTAGCTGGGTCTCCTGCTTGAATGGCAGGGGCCCAAGTATTTGGTCCAATTTCCACTGCCTTCCTAGGAGCATTAGCTGGGAGCTGGATCGGAAGCAGAACAGCCGGGACTTGAACCGCTGAGCCACTATGCCAACTCTATGGCCTCAGTGTTCCACTATTGTCTCCTGTGCGGTCTCCCTTCACCCCAAATCCCATAGCTCCAGGACTTCAGGGTCTCACTGGAGCTGCACTACCCCATCAGTCCTCTCCTTTGGGGTTGCTTGGCCCCAAAGCATCGAGGATTCCCCTTGCTCTGCTGTCAGGGTTATTCCTGGTTCCCTCTGTTTGTTGACTGAGTCCTTGGTTACTAGAGTAGTATTTTCGGAGGGTAAGCATATGCAAATCAGGAAGCTATATCTTAAAGAATATCTGTGTGCAGGGATGGGGATGGAGGGAGAGAGGCACCCAGGGGCCAGGACAGAGAAAGACTCAGAGGGAAGTGGGCTCTGGCCTGCTGCCAGTCCAGTGCCTCCCAGCAGACTCTTCCCGGCTGGCCCATGTCTTTGAGGATAGGCCCAACTCTGGGCCATCCTGGGGCTGACAGCTGAGGCCGCATGGCCCAGGGGCTGCAGCTGTCCCTGCCGCAGGGCCGCTGGCCACTGCCCTGTGGGCGGGGTGGCGCAGGTGGGTCCTCGGTGTTAGCTTGACCCCTGGTGCTTCCTCAACCCCTTTCTGTGTGCAGTGGGAGCAGTCACCTACCACTGCTTCCATCAGGCCTGGCCCGTCCACCACCAGACTCGGGATCAGAGCTTGCCTGGCTGTAGCATGAGGAGGAGGTGAGGGGAGGCGTGGTGAGGAAGACGGGATGGCAATGGGACAGAGGGGAGAAGTCACCCAGGGTGGGGGTCTCAGACCTCAAAGCTGGGGTGGGATCGAAGGTGCTGGAGGGGAAGGGAAGTGCTCACTGATATGGAGAAAAGGGAGCAGAGGAGACCACGCTTGTGGTGGATAGGAGACCTCTTGAAAGGATGCCAGAGGCGGCAGCACCATGGCACAGTAGGTTAATCCTGCGCCTGATGCACTGGCATCCATATGGGCACTGGTTCTAGTCCCAGCTGCTCCTCTTCCAATCCAGCTCTCTGCTGTGGCATGGGAAGGCAGTGGAGGATGGCCCAAGTGCTTGGGCCCCAGTGGGAGACCTGGAGGAAGCTCCTGGATCCTGGCTTTGGATCGGCACAGCTCTGGCCATTGCAGCCATCTGGGGAGTGAATCAACAGATGGAAGACCTTTCTCTCTGTCTCTCTCTCTTACTGTCTGTAACTCTACCTCTCAAATAAATAAATAAAATCTTAAAAAAAAAAAAAGAAAAAAAAAAAAAAAGAAATAAGCCGGCGCCGTGGCTCAATAGGCTAATCCTCCACCTTGCGGCGCCGGCACACCGGGTTCTAGTCCCGGTTGGGGCGCCGGATTCTGTCCCGGTTGCCCCTCTTCCAGGCCAGCTCTCTGCTATGGCCAGGGAGTGCAGTGGAGGATGGCCCAGGTGCTTGGGCCCTGCACCCCATGGGAGACCAGGAAAAGCACCTGGCTCCTGGCTCCTGCCAGGATCAGCGCGGTGCGCCGGCTGCAGCGGCGGCCATTGGAGGGTGAACCAGCGGCAAAGGAAGACCTTTCTCTCTCTGTCTCTCTCTCTCACTGTCCACTCTGCCTGTCAAAAATATTTAATAATAAAAAATAAAAAAAAAAATAAAAAAAATAAGCAAGGAAATAAAAGATGCCAGAGGACAGGCCCTAATTTCCGTAGTACCAGTTCACAAAGACACAAAATAATAGAACTGATTGCTGTGACCTCATGTGCCTCCCACCCCCCTCCAGGGGGCAGGGGGCAGAGTTGGGTGGGGAGAGGAAAGAGCAAATGTACCCAATCAGCCACCAGGCTTGTAACGCTGTCATCCCGACTTCTCTGAGTCCAGCATCTTCAACAGTGTTTGGAAAGGTGGTCAGGTTTTTTTGGTTTGGTATTTTTATTTTTTATTTAAATTTTAATTTTTTTGATTTTTTAAGGAATACAAATTTCAAAAGTACAACTTCAGGAATATAGTTATTCTTCCCACCACACCTGCCCTCCCACCCACACTCCCACCCCTCCTCCTCCTCCCTCTCCCCTTGCCAGTCCAATTCTACAATAAGATTCATTTTCGGGGCCAGTGCTGTGGCGCAGCAGGTTAAAGCCCTGGCCTGAAGCGCTGTCATCCCATATGGGCACTAGTTCTAGAGCCGCTGCTCTTCTGATCCAGCTCTCTGCTGTGGCCTGGGAAAGCAGTAGAAGATGGCCCAAGTGCTTGGGCCCCTGCACCCACGTGGGAGATCTGGAAGAAGTGCCTAGCTCCTGGCTTCAGATCGGCACAGCTCCGGCCATTGCGGCCATCTGGGGAGTGAACCAGCGGATGGAAGACCTCTCTCTCTGTCTCTACCTCTCTCTGTAACTCTTTCAAATACATTAAATAAATATAAAAAAAAGATTCATTTTCAGTTAACTTTGTACACAAAAGACCAACTCTATACTCAGTAAAGATTTCAATAATTTGCACACATACACACACACACACAACAGTTTGAGAACTAGTTTTTCAGTTAACTCTCATAATACAACTCATTGAGGACAGAGGTCCTTCATGGGGAGTTAGTGCACAGTGACTCCTGTTGTTAATTTAACAATTAACACCCTTATGTATGACATCAGTGACCTCCCGAGGCTCTTGACATGGTTTGGTATTTTAAATTTCCAGTTCCTCCCTACAAGAGATAGTGGAAATCAATTTGAATAAACAAAACAGGTTTGCTGAGAATAAAACCAGGACTCCTGACCTGAGGCAGGCAGGCTGCTCCGAGGGCCCTGTCAACCAGCACAGCAGCTGCGGAGAGGGCGAAAGGGCCAGCATGCACCAGGTGAGTGCTCCGTGCTCAGCGGAGCAGAGCTGCCTCAGGTGTGGGGCTGGGGTAGCCAGTGGGATCTTGGTGAGCTGCTGGGGGCAGGGCAGTTCTGTGGGAGCAAAGGCCCAGGCAAAGTGAGAGCTGTTCTCTCTCTGGCCTTTGCCCACAGGTGGTGGCGTTCCTGGCAATGGTCGTGGGGACCCACACCCTCTGTTTGGAGCTTTGGAAGGACTGCAGTCACAGGTCTACCTGCTGCACCAGTAAAGGGCAGGCCCTCCCTGAGGAGTGGCTGCAGTGGACTCCTGTGCCCGTGACTCCCCCAGAGCTGGAGCTCACCCACCCCCAAGAATCCTGCAGGGCCAGCGAAGACGGACCCCTCAATAGCAGGGCCATCTCCCCCTGGAGATACGAGTGAGTCTGCTGTCGCCTCCCCAGTGTCTGCCTGTGCCCCGCCCTGGTGTGTGTGTGAAACCCCACCCCCAATTCCAGCACACCTCCCCCTTCCCATCTCAGACAGGTCTCAGAGCGTTTGGGGCTTCAACAAGACCGGAATCTGAGTCCCAGCTCTGACTCATTGGATGTGTGTGGACCAATAACTCAAGTTTTCAAAGCTCAGGGTTGGTTAGTTTGTTTCAATTCCAGTAGGCTAATATGCAGATCAAATGAAATAATGGATGTAAAAGTCTATTCCTCTTCTTCACTTTTGATCCCTACAATGGCCCCTGCTTTTCTAACTAAAACATTGGGGAGTAATGGCGTGATGCGGGCACAGAACAGCCCAGCCTAATGCTCCTGGCCTGGGCCATGTTAGGTTGCAGGTGCACTAAGACAGCCAAGGCCTCAGCTCTTGGGGGCAGCTTCGTGGCTGGAGCCCTGGGCTGGTTCTCTTTGATCATGATTGTGGCCATTTTATTTTCCACTCTGTGTGCTACAGGAATATTCTAATTCTCTGTGCCAGGATGTGAATATTATTAGGAAGCACTGAAAAAGGGATGGCAAAGCAAAACATTAGAAAGGAGGGCTTTGGGGATCCCGCACATCTTGTGTGTGTGTGTGTGTGTGTGTGTGTGTTTTAAGATTTATTTTTTTACTCGAGAGGCAGAGTTACAGACACAGAGAGGGAAAGGCAGAGAGAGGTTTTCCACTGCTGGCTCATTCCCCAAATGCCTGCAAAGGCCGGAGCTGTGAAAATCTGAAGCCAGGAGCCAAGAGCTTCTTCTGGATCTCTTCTCTGGGTCTCCCATGCGGGTGCAGGGGCCCAAGCACTTGGGCCATCCTCCACTGCCTTCTCAGGCCATCAGCAGTGTGCTGAATCAGAAGTGGAACAGCCGGGACTAGAACCAGCGCCCTTATGAGATGCCGGCACCACAGGCAGATACTTAACCTACAGCGCTGGCCCCAACACATCTTGTTTTGTGAACTCAGCAGCCGTCTCTGTCCCCCAATGCCCCCCACACCATAAGCCCAGTTCTACTTCACCTGGGCTTTGGGGACGGGTAGAGACATTTACTGGGGTAGGGAAGGGGTCAGCTTTAGTGGAGATTAGACCTAGGGTGGACATGGCAGGTCACGATGCGTGGGGGCTGTCCCAGAAGGCTGGCTGGGGGACCTCTGGCCTGAGCTTGGCTGACTCAGCTGCGGTCCAGACCCCTCACGGGGAGGTTGTGGACCCCCACATAATCACTCAGCTGGCCTTCCCCAAAGTGCGTCCCATGGAGCACTCAGAAAAAATGATGGGTGGGTTTGGGAAAGGCTGCTCCAGCCCCTGCCCCGTAGATTCATAACATCTCAGCGTGGGAAATTCCGTGGTCCAAACTCATGGGACCACGGAACCCTTTGCTTGCAGGGTGTTTATCTGGGAACTGCGCTGGCTGCACCCCAGAGAATTGGGTTTCACAGGGGGCATAGTCCTCCAACCTGGCAATACAGTCTAGAATGCAATAATTACAAGAAAGCTCGGGCAGAGGCCAGCGGATGTGTCACAGGGCAGCAGAGCTAAGGCAGGAGCCCGCTGCCTTCCCCACCTCCCTAATGGACCAGCTGGGAAACCTCTCTTCACCCCTTACTCCCATTTCCAGTGGGAAGATGAATTCCGGGGTGTGTGTGCGTGCGTGCGTGTGTGTGTGTGTGCAGGGGACTTGCTCCAAGTCACACAGCAAGGGGGGGTGTCTCAGGACTGAGGAGCAGCCAGGCCTCCAGCGGCCGTTCGCTCCTCCCCCGCCCCGCCCTCCCTGATCCGGCCCCTCCCTCCCGCACAGGTTGGACCGGGACCTGAACCGGCTCCCCCAGGACCTGTACCACGCCCGCTGCCTGTGCCCGCACTGCGTCAGTCTCCAGACGGGCTCCCACATGGACCCCCTGGGCAATTCGGAGCTGCTCTACCACAACCAGACCGTCTTCTACCGGAGGCCGTGCCGCGGCGAGCGCGGGCTCCGCCAGGGATACTGCCTGGAGCGCCGGCTCTACCGCGTCTCCTTGGCTTGCGTGTGCGTGAGGCCCCGGGTGATGGCTTAGTCGTGTGTCTGCCTGAGGCCGACCCTTGGCGGGAAAACTGGAGCTAGGTGTCCCGTCACCTGCCACGGTGGCCAGGACCCCTGAGCGCTCGTCCTCTCCAAAGCACCCCGGGGACCAGCAGGTCCTTGGCTCGGCGTGGGGGGCTTTGGCGCCCTTTTGCACTTTGGGAAGCACTTTGTGAAGGCAGCAGCTGCGGGAAGCTGGCGTCCTGGCCTTGCTGGAGATGAGCACTCCTGTCTCTGCCTTCCGCCCTTCCCCCAGCTGCCCTGGCCCAGCACAGGCACTTTCTTGATAATCACCCCTTTGCCAGGGGAAGGCCCTCATTTCATTTGTTCATTCTCTCGCTCACTCACTCGTTCACGGGGGCATCAAGCATTCGGTGGACGTAGATCACTGCACATGGGCAGATTCATCCAAATAAACATCTGTATTTAAAAATGATCTAGTTTGTCTCTGGCATGCATCGTGGCCCCCCACCTGGGTGCCTTCTCCACCCGCCCCCCACAATGCTCCCCTACCACCCACTCTCTGGCCCCCCAGAGTTTCTGCTGCACCCTCCCACCCCTCCGCTCTCGGGACCAGGGTGGGGGTCAGGCTGCGCTCCCAGCATGCTGGAGACACAGAGGCCCATTGAGGCACCACAGCAGGCACACAGCGCCCCCTTGTCCCTCAACAATCCGCCTTTGTCTCTGGTCCTGGCTACGGCTTTGCCTGGGTCCTGGGGGGTGCAGCCTGAGCCGGGCTCTGGTCCCACCCTCTCTAAAAGGAAAAGGGAGACGGGACTGGCATAGGAAGGGGGTTAAGGTTAGGGGAAGCGGACACATACAGCACACATACAGCTTCAGGCTTAGGTCGCCGGGCACTCCTCGTCCAGCCCCCACCTCCTTATCTCCTGGCTCCTCCCATTTGTTTCGGGACCTCCCCTTCTCCCCCATTCCTTCTGCCCCTCTCCAGGCTGGGTTGGGCTCTGAGTGAGGGGAGGGGCTAGCCACTCCGCCCTCCTCCCTCCCCTTCCCTGCCCTCCCCTATGCCTCCCAGGGTGCTGGTTCTGCCACAGTGAGGCTCCGGCACAGTGGGGTGAAGGCTCGCCTCTTCACTTGCAGGTTTCTCAAAGTGCCTTCTCCCTCCGGCCTGCTTCCCTAGCCTGCCAGGTCTCCTGGGCTGGTGGCGGTGGGGGGCCGTGCCCCGTGGGCCCCACGGAGAGATGCTGGGTGCCTGGGACCGCCGAGACCGGCCCTCCGAGGAGGGGGCAGCTGCCGCGCTCCAGGGCTTCGCCGTGGACAAGAGCTTCCTCTCTTCCCTCAAAGGCATCCTGCTGGAGACCGAGCTGGTAACAGCTGCCTCCCCCACCTGGTGCCTCCGTCCCCCCTCCCACCTATGCCCCAGGCTCAGCTGTCAGCAGCCCCCTGCCCAGGCTCCCTGCACACCCCTCTGTCCTGGCTGCCCCGCTCTCATCTTCAGAGTTCCGTTGCAGCAGGAAGGATTGAAGTTAGACTGAGGACAGCCTTTGGGGACATTGGGGGAGTGGGAGACAGTGGGGTCGGGCCAGCCTGCCTTTCCCTGGCTGTAACATGGCCACTTCTCACCTTGTCCCTGGAGTCCACCTATTAGAAAGGACGGACTTCCTGCCAGCTGCAGTTGATGTGGCATCTGCTGCCCTTGACCATCAGTCCTCAGTTACTTAGTGAGACCACAAGGCCTCCATAGAGCTGCCACCCCGTACCGCCAGAGCTGAAGGCTCACCCAGAGCCCACTGGGTGGCACCTGTCTTCACTGGCCCTTGTCAGGGGAGTTTTGGGCATCTGGGAGCAGGGAACACGTTCTATAGGATATAGGACTGGGGTGGCTTCTGGGCTGTGGGGCACATGGCACTCTCCGCTCCTGGGGACATGTCCTGGTGGATCATCATAGGCCAGCCCCCTCCCCCCACCCCAGTCATGCAGCTTGGATGCACTGCTGGCTCTGCTGGGACCCTTGAATGGTGGCTCCTGACCCTGGGGAGCAGGGGTGGGGTGGGGGTGGGGACTCTCCAGGCTCTTCCTTCTCTCCGAGGACGGGGCAGCTCCTGATGAGTGTGAGGCCTAGGCTGGCCAGTGCCCGTGTCCCCTTCCTGGCAGGCGCCCCCTGCTCCGTCCCGCAGGTCCTGGTTTTCATCATCTTCATCTGCTTCACGGCCTCCATCTCTGCCTACATGGCCGCGGCACTGCTGGAGTTCTTCATCACGCTCGCCTTCCTCTTCCTCTACGCCACCCAGTACTACCAGCGCTTCGACCGGCTCAACTGGCCCTGTCTGGTGAGGAGCCTGCCTTCCCAGGACCTTCCTCTCCTCACCCCCACTGCCCGCCTTTTCCGCACTCCTTGTGCTCAGAACTGTGCCGGGACTCACACTGACTTCTCAGCCATGGGGTCCCGGCATCGGGGAAGAGGCACACCCTTGGGTCCTCTCAGCAGGGGCCCAGCCCCAGCCAGCCCTGCCCTACCCGGCCCCCCTGGCTGCTCTGCGTGGGTCTGTCTCAGCTTCTCATCCTCGTGGCTTGTGGGTCCCCCTGCTTCCACACCCCGGGTGGCCATGTGGGTTCTCGCTCTCAAAAGCGCTTCGTGGTGTGTCGTGTCCAGGGTGTGTCCCCACACAGGGATTCAGAATGCCTCAGAGCCAGGCCGCTGACTCCCTGCCTTGGGACGTCCCTGTGACCCTGCCCCCGCCCCTCCCACTCCCCCAGGACTTCCTCCGCTGCATCAGCGCCATCATCATCTTCCTGGTGGTCTCCTTTGCTGCTGTGACCTCCCGGGATGGAGCTGCCATTGCTGCTTTTGTGAGTCCAGCTTGGCAGGGCTCGGCCACCCCGCAGGGCTCTGGCTGGCGTTTGCACACTTTGTGCAGCGCCTGCCTCGAACCTCACCCTGTACCACCCACCCCACCTCTCCCCTAACCCAGTGGCCCAGCAGCCTCTGTTGTACCGTCCCTCAGGTTTTTGGCATCATTCTGGTTTCTGTCTTTGCCTATGATGCTTTCAAGATCTACCGGACTGAGATGGCGCCCAGGGCCTCCCAGGGTGAGTGCCTGTGCTCCGAGTGCCCATGTCCCCTCCCCTGCCCCAGCCACGTTGGCCTGATGTGGCTTCCCTCCCTGGTTTCTTCTCCACAGGGGACCCGCAGTGACTCTGGGGCTAACTGGCTCCTAGCTGCCGCCGGACCTGCACTAGTGGGGCCCAGCCACGTCTCCTTTGGGTTCATAGCTCCTGGCCCAGGCCTACAGAGACATCTGCCTGAGAAGTCACTGGAGACGCGTCTGTGGAGCCTGACTCTTGATGAAGCCCTGGCCAGGAGAGGGGGACTTAGGGAAGGAGGGGGTGGGCAGAGGAAGCTGGCCCTCCAAGGGCCCCCAAATTAAAAGATTGGAATCTGACCGCTGAGTCTTTTCTTCCCCAGAAAGCAGGCAGACCAGGGATGCCAAGAAGCGTCCTTGGCAAAAGTGCCCAGGACACACTGTCCCTCCCTGGGGCTGGGTCTGAGCAGTGACGATGAAGACATCCTTCCACGCAACACAGAACTTGGCTGTGTGCAGAGGTTAAGCTGCTGCCTGTGACACCCGCATCTCATAGGAGTGCGGGTTCAAGTCCCAGCTGTTCCACTTCTGATGCAGCCCCTGCCACCCATGTGGGAGAGCTGGGTGGAGCTCTTGGATTCTGGTTTCAGCCTGGCCCAGTCCCGGCTGTTGCAAGCCCTTTGGAGAATGAATCAAATGTAGTAGATGGAAGATCTGTCTGCCTCTCTCTGTCACTGCATTTCAAATAAATAAAAAATACATCTTTAAAAAAATATAAAAAGTAAAAACCTTGGCCACTCTGACATATCCTGGTGGCTGGGTGCCTGGAGTTCTGTCTGGAACAGCGCAAGTCTTCCAAACATCATGTCCCACCCTGCACTGGGCACGCAGGTTTGTCCATGAGCTTGTGTGGAGGCGCCTGCCTGGGGTGTGTGTGTAGAGCTCCCCCTGGTGTTGTGGAGGAGGCTTTGGCCTGCAGGCCGCAGGGGTGGCAGAGAGGAGAGATTCCCAAAACGCTGGTGCCAGCAGGGCCCTTGGTGACCAGCTGGGCCGATGCCCTCATTCCCTCCAGCGGTTATGGGACGTGACCTTCCTATACCTGTGACATGGCTAGGGCTGGCACCCAGCTCTCCTGACACCTGGACAGGTGTTCTGGGTACTGTACTGGCCCAGCCTCAGCCACAGGCCCATGGCAGTACAATGCAGCCAGCAGCTCCTTCAAGCTGACTTGCTAACCCTTCCCCCCAACACTGCTTCTTCCTGCTCTGAAAGACCTTCCTTCCTCTTCCTCTGGGGACCTCCTGCCAGGTATCGCCCAAGCCTCTTGGTAGTGTGAACATTTCTCCCTTGATCTGAACTTTCCTGCCTCTGGTTTCCTTTCTTAAAAAAAAAAAAAAAAAGTTTATTTATTTGAGATGCAAAATGACTTCCATTTGCTGGTTCACTCTCCAAATTCCTGCAAGAGCCAGAGCTGGGCCAGGCTGGAGCCAGGAGCCCGGAACTCCATCTAGATCTCCCACATGGGGGTCAGGGTCCCAGGCACTTCAGCCATCATCTGATGCCTCCAAGGCACAATAGCAGGAAGCTGAATCAGAAGTGTGGAGCAGCAGGGACTTGAACTAGGAACTCTGATATGGCATGTGGTTGTCCTAACCCCCATGCCACAATGCCCACCCGCTGCCCTGGTTTTCTGCCCTCAATCCTGGCTCTGCTTCAGCGCTGGCAGTTCTCCCGGGCTAGAACCAGTTGGACTGTTTGTTTCTCAGAAGGTGTCTGCTTGTGGTTCTTAGGGTTGTATGCACAGTCTATTTGCAGGACTAGCAGGCTGGCTTTGGTTGGGGCAGGGGTGGGTACAGCCTCAGAGGAGGCAAAGAAGAGGTTCAGCTAGGGGAGTTGCCAGAAGGCTGCCAGGTAAAGGGATGAGATGGTACGAAGTCCAGCCCAGTCCCCTGAGCGGCTGTGTACCCTGGGCTGGACTGTCCCAGTAGCTCAAAGAGAGCAGAAATGTGATGGGTGGTGTGAACCTGTCTGTGCTCCCAGGCTTGTCTGTGTCTGGGTGGGAGACTAGCAAAGCCCAGGCTTGCCCCACGCTGCACGTGGACTCCAGGAGCCCTCATGGTGAGACCCCGGCCCACAGAGGTGAGAACTGACAGCAGGAGCTGACAGCCAGGCTGGGACCTGTCCCCCACTTCCTTGTATCCTGGTCCTCATGCAGCTCCAAACCTCTCCTGGCATCAGTGGGAAATTAATTGCGCAGAGAACAGGGGTCCCAGAATAACTTCAAGCCCTGCAGCCTTGAGGTGCAGCAGGTGCAGGGCAGCTTCAGCCTCGGCACCAAAATCTGCCTCTTGGCATCTGGAATTGGAGCCTTGCTGTTCTCCACTTTGGAAACGCCCCCTTCTCTTTGCTTGGGTGCATACTGAGCAGAGCTGGGTCTCACAGCTGTGCTGCCGCAGGTGGGACACCTCACTTCTCTGGGCCTTGGTTCCCTCCTCTACAGCTGTGGGAGCTTTGGCTGCCTTGGCTTGCTCACAGGGGCTGGGGCCACCCCCTTTCCTGGGGCAGCAGCCTTCCTGCTGCAGGCTGGACAGCTGGTGGGAAAGACAGATGGGCGCAGGCGGAGTCAGGCACTCGTGTTTATTGCGGGTTAACAAGAGCGGGGTTCCGGAGGCGGCGTCACTCCTCGTCGTGCATTTTTTGCTGAGAAAGGAAGGAGAGATGTGAGTGGCAGCTGGCAAGAGAGATGGGGTGTGGGGAGCATCCCTAGGGTTTCCAGTGGCTGAAGGGAGATGCCCACAGCATGGGACTGGCTGGGCCGCTGGGACCTTGGGGTCCCTTGCTAGGGGTGCTGTGGTTTAGGGGAAAGACGGGGCATCCAGCAGAGACTCCAGTCTTTGGGGGCTGCCCTAAGCAGCTGCTGTAGGACCCTCAGGGCTGTGAGGGCTGCCCACCCCGAGGGGCACTCATGTCAGGGGGTGTGCTGATTCGGGTGGCTACTGGAGCCCCTGGGGGAGGGACCCACCTTGGCGCCGATGTCGCGGCTCTTGGCCCGCAGCTTGTTGACCTGGGACTCCGCGATGTCTGCCCGCTCCTCCGCCTCGTCCAGCTCGTGCTGCACCTTGCGGAACTTGGACAGGTTGGTGTTGGCCTGCTCCTCCTGTGGGGGTGGGGCGCGGGAGGAACCTCCTCAATCGTGTCCTGCATGGCCACCACCCACTTCCCAAAGTGAATCCCATGCTGCTTGGTAGGGAGCCCCCCAGAACGTCATCCCATCTGTCCCAGCATGCCTCGGAGGGACGCCCCCCAGCCCAGGTTCTCCATTAGCACCTCACATGCACTTTCCTGTCTGCTTGGAAGTCTTCCTCCACTGGGAAGGAAGTCACCTGCTAAGCCCAATGTCAAGGCCGCTGGCCTGCCTTAAGCGTCATCTGCCCCCTGTCCTGCATCAGTGTCCCCACTGCCTTCACGTGGACTTATGGTGCATAGGTTATATGCGTGGGGGCAGGTGCCTTGCTTCTGCTGAGTCAGAGTGCCTGACATAGCTCTGACCGTACCAGCTATTATAATAAATGTTCACATTTAGAGCAATCCTTTGTCCGAGCCCCACCATGCGTGGTGGACATGCATCGATTCTCGCACATAATAAGTGCGTTGATGAACGGCGAGAGAGAAAATCATGAACTCACCGCCTCCTCGGCCTGGCGCTTGTAGGCCTTGACCTTCAGCTGCAGCTTGTCCACCAGGTCCTGCAGCCGCAGCAGGTTCTTCTTGTCCTCCTCCGTCTGCAGGGGGAGAAGGAGGTTTCAGGGAGGAGTAAGCGCCATCGCCTTTCTGTTCCCCATTGTTCTAGCTCCTCGCCATGCCTCAGCTGCCGCCTTCCAGGCGCCCAGGGTAGAGCGCGGTGGGGGAGATTCCATCTCTGACGCAAAGAGGGCAAGGCAATGTTCTCAGTCCAGGATCCACCAAGCTCTGGGGGCTGGGTGTGTTGGGGGGGGGTGCGGCTCTGAACTTCCTGAGCAGGTAAGAAAGAGGCACTGGCTCTGTTCCAGCCCCAGCGTGGGGAGCAGAGCAACACACGTGCTCTCGGCCAGTGGCTCAGGAGTGACCAGGGCTAAGGAGGAATGCAGAAAGAAGGCGCACCCTCATGGCTCACGTTATTCTGATCTATGATAGCCCAGTACTCTAACACGACAGTACTGCAGTGGGCCAGGAACACTGGCTGCAATACCTAACCAGTCATCCCCCTATCAGCTCCTGGTGCGTGCTTCTGTCCGTGCCAAATCCACGGTTCTAGCACTGCACCCTGTCTTGTCTCTGGGATCCATCTGTCAAATGGGCCAGTTCCCCTGTCTCCTTGGTCTCTCCCCCGACAGGCACACTGTGATGAGTACAGAGTACAGGCAGAAGCTCTGACCTAAGCACACGGAGGTCTTGGAACATGCTGGGATCTTCTTTCTCTAAAGCCTTCCCTTGGCCGTGGGGAAGTTCTCTGCCATTTCCCACCCCCTGACTCTCCTCCCTAACGCGCCCCACAAAGGTGGAAGGGGCCTCTGGACCGCTCTGAAGCTGTCCTGGTGGAGCTCTTAGTTCTTGAAAAACAACTTTGAGGAAGTAGTAGGTTCTCCACTTGCTAGAAAAATCCACAGACTCAAGCCACACGGACTCCCGAGAAAGAAAACGAATCTACGGACAGCGTCTCAAGGCGCAGGTGGCCTGGGGTCCCGGAAGGCAGCCAGGGCACAGCGCGCGCACCTGGTAGGTGAGCTCCTTGATGCGCCGCTCACTCTTCCTCATGCCCTTCACCGACTCCGCGTTGCGCTTCTGCTCGGCCTCCAGCTCATTCTCCAGCTCCCGCACCCGCGCCTCCAGCTTCTGCAGCTGCTTCTTGCCGCCCTTGAGGGCGATCTGCTCGGCCTCGTCCAGCCGGTGCTGCAGGTCCTTAATGGTCTGCTCCATGTTCTTCTTCATGCGCTCCAGGTGGGCGCTGGTGTCCTGCTCCTTCTTCAGCTCCTCCGCCATCATGGCGGCCTGCGCGCGGGGGCGGGGCGGCACACGCTGGGGTCAGGCCCTCACACACCGGCCAGCCCCTTGGCGCGGGAGGGCGGGGTGGGGGACTCACGTCCGTGATGGCCTTCTTGGCCTTCTCCTCGGCGTTCCTGCATTCCTGCACCGCCTCCTCCACTTCCGTCTGCAGCTGGGTCAGGTCCGACTCCATCTTCTTCTTCTGGTTGATGAGGCTGGTGTTCTGGGGCGGGAGGAGAGCAAAGGGTCACACCCACTCGTGGACTTGTTACCTCGGTCCACTTCAGAGAGCATAAGTGGTTGTTTAGGGGCCAGCGCTGTGTGTAGTAGGCTAAGCC